GATAAATACGGTTGGACACCGCTTTACGAAGCTTCCTTTTATGGTCACGAAAAAATTATTGAATGTCTGCTGAAATGCGGAGCCGAAATCAATCGCGCTGATAAATACGGTTGTACACCGCTTTACGAAGCTTCCTTTCAAGGTCACGAAAAAATTGTCGAATGCCTCGTGAAATGCGGAGCCGAAATCAATAGCCCTAATAAAAATGGTCAGACACCGCTTTCCGCAGCTTCCTCTCAACGTCACAGAAAAATTGTCAAATACTTAGTAAAATGTGGAGCAAAACGTTTCGTTTAATAAAATGAATAATTATGGTTCAACTCGAATAGTCACCAAAAATCTGTCGAATGATTAGTTCAACGGTGATCCAAAACTCCTCTACGCCGGGCTAGACTTTCAATATTTTATTACCATCCGCCGCCTCATTTTTTTATTGTTATTTTGTTGATCATATCAGGGACGGTAATTTTGCTCTATCTATTAAAAACAATGTTACCTTTACCTTTGAGAGATATTATAACATACTTTAATTATAGGATTTATATTAAAAAAAATAAAATTAAAAAAAAACTGAATTTGTTCGACCGTATTTCAGGAGCCACAAATGTCCTGTCAGATACCTTGGACCAATTTTACCTAGTTTGATTAAAATTAAAATTTGAGCCTACATTATTTTTGGTAATACAGTGTTTTTCTTTATTTGTCGAAAATGTTTCACTATTTGACACATTTTTCCCGTATTTGCCTTTTTGATATCATATGCCCAAAGTAATTCCCTTTGTCAAAATTCTTTCAATTTATCGCAGGGCCCAATCATAAGTAATTTATTTTAACAAATATGTCAATCTACAATCATGAAATACCTATAACAAATTATTATTTAAGTTCAAAATTTCATTTCTGTTGAGGCAATCCCCACTAATTATTGCGTCAAAAGCATTGTGTACTTGGATATTGGATATTTAATTCGTCTTCGTTTCTAGGATGATTTCTTTCCAGAACACAAGGTAAAATAATCTGAGAAACATAGCGCACCATTTAATAACAGTAGGAAATAGATTTGAGAATTAGTGGAACACAATTAACGAAAGACGAAAATCAAAAGAAGTACACTATTTTATGATGTATATCTTTGTATACATAACTACCTATATGCTTCGTCTGTCTTCAGATATTCTGAAGTTTTGTATTGTGTTTATTAATTTCTTTATTTATCTATTCTTATATTTAAACATATTTCTGAGATTCACGCAATTTTTAAATCTAAGGAAAATATAACCACAAGCCAAATAAGTCACTTTCTTTTATGGGCATATATTTCACTTGAATAAATGAATTTGACATGACTATTTCTTTTATAAATATTTTGTTTGTAGCTTTTTCTGAAGTATCATTTTCGGATTTTTAACTTTCACCAAATTTATTTTCCTCAAATTTTGAACTTTCGATAAATTATTTTGATAATGTCGCAAATTTTAATTACCTAGTTGACGACCACACATTAACTTGATCTGTCACTTTTTTACCGAAACTTTTCAACTATATTTTCGGTCAAACTCAGCTAAGCTCCAACTTTTACTATTACTTAGGTGAGTCATCATCTAAATATATTTGGCGTTATGTAATTATGAAATTTCAGTACAAATGTTTTTCGTGAGGCCTTCACAACAATACGAAGAGGACTGCAGCAAAAACTAACGTACTTATTCCTACTATCCAATTTGAAAAATGCAAACAAAACACATAAACTAAAGTAAGTAAAAATATTTTGAAATTAACTTTATAAATTTGATTTAACATTTCAGTACAGGTGTTTACATAACTTTTAAAAAAATTGGAACCAAAACTTCTGTTATTCGTCAAGAACTAGTATTGGAACGATGTTTTGAAAAATACTTCCGCTTCAAAAATAGGTAAATTTGCCTACCAAAGTACTTATTTTTATTTATCGCATTTTGCATAATAGACATTTCCTGCGTACCAGAACAACGAATTTAAAAACAGCAACTGGCGTTGTAATTTCGCATCTTCACAAAATATATCTTAGGCAGAATCGGATTTCTAACCTCAAGTTTTAACAAATGGTTTAATACCGCTAACTGACCTGGACAATATCAACAGAAAAGCGTTTTAAGGTAACTTTTATTACTTTAAAATTTCCCAATATCACAAAATATTTAAAATTTCAGCGAAACACACGCTAAACGAATTCCAAACCAGAGAAATTAGGCGAAATTCCTGCACCATCAGCCGGAATTTCGTCTTGTCATCGTAGGAGCTACAATTTGTCCATACATTCCGAAATCACTGCATAGAAAACAGAATGGTGCGATAGAAAAGCATCTTAATCACTGTCATATTATTTACATGGGCAAACCGTTCACAGGTAACATCATTTAACATATTAATAACGCATTCACTTTGATTGAGATAGTTTTCCATCGCACAATTAATTTTAGTTCTAATATGTAATGTGATAATAATTTTATTATTTGCATAGGAGTGTTGTAAATGGTTGCTCCAATGTATAGTTTGTTTCGTCTGTGTGTGTCATTTTTGACAAGATCGCTCAACGGATTCATATCTAACAAATGGCAACGCTAGATTCACTGTTCACGCATTCAGGACGTGTTTTTGTATTTGCATCTGTTGGGCGCTTCGAGCACAAAATATTTAAAAATTTTGAAATGTAAAGTGACATGATACCTTTTAACTAAGTACCTACTTGTATTCAGAATTAGCAAAAAACGACGTCAAGGCTGTTTTCCATCGCCGAATATTTTTCTCACTATATAGATCCACTCAGGTTGCATAACTAAAATGAACATTTTGTACCAAATCGTGGTTCTCTTGGAGCGTCGAAATGGCTTGTGGTTTAAGTTTGTTCATAGTGTTTTAAACACTTCACAAGGATTTTCCATAAACGTCCTCGTTTGACAAACTGACAAAGTTTGTTTCAGAGAGGAAGCGAGAAATTTACTGTGACCAAATACTGAAAATGCTACAAGCATAGCAACAACGAAACTTTTTTTTTTCTTGAAAATTGGTACACAGATGGAAAAACACTTAACAAAACCAAAGCACATAATTGAAGCAGGTTTCCTTTTGCGAATAGTTGTTGATAGAAAGTGTAAAAATCTGAATTGGAACAAAAATACCGAAGAGGGACTGCAACCTTGACGTATTTTCTGACTTAATTGTAGCTTTTTCAGTTTATTAAAAAAAGTATCATGACATGTGAGGGATATTTTTACTTTGTAGTTGAGATATGTACATATATTGTAGTTTATAAGTTTATTACTAGTAACATAACGGTGATTACTCCAACTAATAAGGACTTCAACAAGCCTATGTGTCTAAAGAGTGTAATCAGTCAGTTCCTATGTTGTAAATAAGTATGTAAATAATGAATTAATGTCTACAAATGTTGAAATAGATTGTTGTTTGTTATCAAACATTAGAATAAAATACATTTTTTGGAATTTTTAATTAAATTGGTTTTTATTTTCTTTTATAACATGAACGAAAATTGTTTTTTTAACAAATAAAATATTGTGGACCGACTGGGACAAAAATTTTGTTGAAATTTTGTTAAAGTTAACAAAACTTTTCTTACTGTACAGAAAGAGATGAAGAGAACGAGATAGTGTGTCAACGAACAGGTAGAATAGAATAATCAACAGAAAGAATTTTAAGAAAAGAAGACGAACACCCGAATACGAATAATGAAAGTTTTTATCAAAAAGGGTGTTTAGGACATATTAGAGAGTGTTATAAACAGGGAAGAGATTAGGGATGAGCTGCAATTTTTCGACAGGTAATTTGTAATGTTCAAAAATTCTTAGGTCAGAATAATATAAATCGAGCTCTTTTATATTGTAGGCCGGTCATTCGGTTTTAACCCGAAACTGGTACCAATTAAATAAGCAAGGAATACTGGACAAAAAGTGTTTCTTTTATTCAAAATGAAAAAATAAATTATGTTTTTTTAGAACAGCGCCTACAGCTTACATTCTTTTCCACTACGTGACCTTTTGTAGGTGTCTCCACACTCCACAGTACAGACACTCTGTGTTACCATTGTTTAAGTATAGGTATAGAGGAAGTTTAAGTATATACTTAAACAATGGTGTTACCTTCGTCATTCTCTTCCTCTTCAGAGCCTGTCTGAGGTGTCAACAGGTTATGCTTACCTTTTTTTACTGTTACTTTATCTTTTTTTCCAAATATCCATTTTTTACCCGCGACTTGCCTTTTTTTTATTTTATTACTTTTTTTGTTCATTTTTTTTGTTTTAATTTTTCTTTATATGGTGTGCTTGTTAATTCCATAGGAGATTGGGATCGCGTACAAACTAAAATGTTTTTTTTTTTATTGACTCAAGGGGTGAGAGATGTCTTCTGCAAGTTTCCATTTTTACACGGACATTTTGGAACGCGGCTTTTGATTATGAAATTACCCCTTACTACTGGAAATATTACATACTGAATATGACACACACCGTAAGAGCCAAACGTGGCGACTCGCCTTAAATTGAACCGGTCCAATTTGAAATGCCAAACCAGGTTCAAATTAAGCACCTTTACCAATTTTCTGTCCATCTAACCTCCACAATTTACCTCAGTACTTAACAACTTTATTTTATAGTAAGATACTTTAAAATACAAACATGTAGAAAAATTCAAAAGTACTTAACTACTTACCCTATAAACACAACAAGTTATCACTCTACAAACAAACTAGAATTATAACATGAAGTGGAGAAATGTTTAGGTTTTTGAAATGCCAAAATTAACTAAAGTGGAAAAGATGCGTTTGAGTACTGCAAGGACTGTTTCCACACTTCTACACATAACATTTTGGGAAAAGTATACCAGCGCAGAACTTTTTGGATTAACGAGGAATAAAGAACTGAGTACGACAAATTGATGAATAAAGTAAAAAATGCATAAAACAAATATTTATTTCTATTTTCATCCCTATATCTGCATCAAGCAAAGTTATTTCTTGAAGTGCAATTTATCCAGTACTCGAATGAGATCCGTGTAAAATAACTCCTCGCTGTCTTCAGAAAAAAAGTAATCGTTGTGACCAAACTTCAACTTCTTGGTGTTAGTTGCACTTGGTACCCGAAAATATTCTTTTTCGCTGCTTCCAAGTTCCTCAAAAACTCTTTTCACAGCCTGGAAACAAATATTTTTAAACAGAGAGAGCAAAGAATCACACTACTTTTTCCTTGATGATTATGTCACAATTACCATAAAACATGTACACAGGAAGCTTGTAGTTAGTCAGATTATACAAAGGGAGCTGCTCTTGAATATATTTTATAATATTTCCTTTTCATCCATAGTCATACTTTTGGAATTTTCGAGAGTGGAACATTTGAGCATATTGTTGAACTTGCATTAGTGACACTGGAACGGGAAGAATCGAAAACGTTGACAAAAATCATCCTATAATGAAACTGTAAGTGTAATAGCAAAGTTTTCTATCTGTAAAGAAAAAGAAAATTACCGGTGATAACTGAGACGAGCTGCCAAACGTCAAAGTAATAATGAGCTTACAAATGTATGGGAAAAAAGTACAAAGAAACTAATAAAACTTTGCTGTATATTCGACGGGATAGTTTATCACTGGAATTCTCAATACGTTGGCGATTTTCTGCACAACAAAGAACAAGATGCCACTAGAAGAAAATTAAAATGGTGAAGCTTACACTAAGTACAGGTGATAATTGGAAAAGTATTTTCATAGAAAACGGGTTCGAAATATACAATGGGAGCCAGGGCGACCACACCTCTCAGAATTTTTTGGACTTCTTCTGTATACTCAGAAGCGTACATGAAAGCCAAAGTAGCTCCTCTAGAGTGACCAATGTAAATATTAGAACCTGATTTATTAGTTCCTGTATCTAGAATTGCTGAGATTCCGTTAGTTACAACAGTATCAAGGCTGAAACCTTCAGTTATAAATGTTATTTAATTATTTTGATGTTGCCCCAAAACTTGAAATCTGACATTTTGTACTTAACATGGGTGGTGTAACCGCTATCTCTATGATTCACCAACCATACGTTATAACCAGCATTGACCAAAACGAATTGTGGTTTCTCTATTTCTCGATGCCTCAGTTTTCCAATTTTTTGAAGTTTCGAGTTTTCAGTTACTAATCCAACTTTTTTCAATTCTTGGATTTTCGATTTTTCGAGTTTCAAATTTATTAATTTTTCAATTTTTGGAAATTTTTTTCAATTTTAAAATTTGCCAATATTTTGATTCTTCAACTTTTCGATTTTTCGACTTCTGGATTTATCGATTTTCAATTTTTATTTTTAGATTTTCAGTTTCTCAATTTTCCAATTTTTAAAATTTTCGAGTTTCGATTTCTCGATTTGTTGATATTTCAGTTTTTCAATTTTCTGATATTTTAATTTTTCAATGTTTTAAATTTTAGATTTTCCGATTTTTCGATTTTTCAGTTCTTCCATATTTTTTAATTTTCCGAATTTTGACGTTTCTGAATTTTCAGTTTTCCGACTTCTCAATGAATTTATTATTTGATATTCCCATTTCTCGACTTCCCAAAGTTTGGATGTTTCAGTTCTACGTTTCTTCAATTTTTCGATTTTTCAGGTTTTTGATTTTTCAATCTTCCGATTTTTTTGTTTGCGATTTTTCGACTTTGCTTTTTGAATTTTCAATTTCCTAATTTTTCAATTTTTCAATTTCCCAATTTTTCGATATTTCGTTCAATTTTGTGATTTCTTCAGTTTTCCGATTCTTCAATTTTTCTTTTATTTTTCAATTTTTCAATATTTCACTTTTGAAATTTTTTTGTATGTTGACTGTTCGATTTTTTGGTTCTGGATTTTTGGATTTCTCGACTATTTACCTTTTGGATTTTCAATTTTTCATTTTTAAACGTAAAGTTTTCAATTTTTCAACTGTTTTGTACTTCAGTTGTTCAATTTTTCAACTTTTCGATATTTAAACTTTTGAATTTTTCGATTTTTTGTTTACTGGGATTTTTAATTTTCCGATTTTTCAGTTTTCGATGTTACAGTTTTGAGACTTTTTAAGTTATCGATTCTTCAATTTTTCTTTGATTTTTCAAGTTTTTCGATTTTTCGATGTTTCAATTTTTCCATGACTCAATTTTTCGATTTTTCTTTCGATTTATCGCTAAGAATTCCAAAACTGAAATATCGAAGAAATATATATATATATGAATTTCAGTTTTGGGATTATTTAATATTTGGATCCATTTTTTCGACTTTGCGATTTTTCAATTCTTGGATTTTTTGATTTCTTGATTTTTCACTTTTTCGATTTCTCAATTTCTCGATGTTGTAGTTTTGAGATTTTCCAATTTATCAATTCAATTTTTTTTTATTATTTCGTGTTTTTTTATTCTTCGATTTATTTATCACGTCTGGAATTCTTCAATATTTTTATTCCGCGAAGTTTCGTTTTTTCGACTTTTCAATTTTTCGATTTTTTGTTTAGTTGGTTTGTTAATTTTCCGACTTTTCAATTCTTGGTTTTTTTAATTTCTTGATTTTTTAATTTTTTGTTTTTGCATTTTTTCGATTTTTCAATATACTATCTTTTAAATTTTATAAATTTTGATTTCTCGGTTGCTCGATTTTTCAATTTATATATTTTTCAATTTTTTTTAAACTTCCTATTTTAGATTTTTAATTCTTTAATGTTTCAGATTTTCAATTATTTATATTTTACGGATTTCAATTTTTCATTTTTTCGATTTTTCGGGTTTTTAAATTTTTAATTTTTTCTTTTAAATTTCCCATTTTTCGATTTCTAGATTTTTCACGTTTTCAACTTCTTAATTTTTTGATGTTTCTCAATTTCTCGATGTTGTAGTTTTGAGACTTTCCAATTTATCAGTTCAATTTTTCTACGATTTTTCGTCCTTTCGACTTTTAGATTTATTAATCAGTTTTGGAATTGTTCAGTATTTTGAGATTTTCCGATTTGTTGGTTACTCGGATTTTTAATTTTCCGATCTTTCAGTTTTAAGATTTTTTAATTCATCGCTTCCGCAATTTTTCTTTGATTTTTGATTTTTCAATTTTTCGACGGCTCGATTTTTCGATTTAAAGCCAAGAATCCCAGAATTGAAATATCGGAGAAATATATTTCAAGTTTGAAATTCTTCATTTTTCGATTTTTCAATTCTTGGATTTTTTGATTTCCTCATTTTTCACTTTTTCGATTTTTCAAATTTTCGTTTTTTTAAATTTTATATTTTTTGATTTCTCGATTTGTCGATTTCCCGATTATTTTTCAATTTTTCGATTTCTCAACTTTTGGATATTTTAGTTTTTCGATTTTTCAATTTATCGGCTCCTCAATTCTTCTTCTATTTTTCGATTTATCAAATATTCCAGATTTTAGTTTTGGGATTTTTCAATATTCAATTCCTCGATTTTTCACTTTTTCAATTATTCAATTTATCGATTCTATTTTTTTTTTTCGATTTTTCGTGTTCTCGATTTTTTGATTTATTTATGGGTTTTGGAATTCTTCAATATTTTGATTCTTAAAAGTTCCGATTTTTCGACTTTTCAATTTTTCGATTTTTTGTTTACTCTGTTTTTTAATTTTCCGATTTCTCAGTTTTCGATGTTTCGGTTTGGAGATTTTTTAATTTACGATTCTTCAATTGTTCGATTTTTAGAGTTTTCCTTTTTTCGATTTTTCGATGTCTCAAAATTTCGATTTTGTTTTCGACTTATCTCTAAGAATCGCTAAAACTGATATATCAAATATATATTTCAGTTTTGGGATTCTTTAATATTTCTATTCATTTTTCGATTTTTCGATTTTTCAATTCTTGGATTTTATTGGTTTCTTGATTTTTCACTTTTTCGATTTCTCGATATCTCGAAGTTTTAGTTTTGCGATTTTTCAGTTTATCGATTCCTCTTCGATTTTTCGATTTATCAAATATCCGATATTTAAGTTTTGAGATTTTTCAATATTCAATTGTTCGATTTTTTGATTTTTTACTTTTTCTATTTTTCAATTCTTGACCCTTCTAGATTTTCTATTTTCAGAATTTTTCGATTTTTCCACATTTCGATTTTTCGATTTTTTGACTATTTCATTTTTCGATTTTTTCAGATTTCCCGTTTTTTCAGTTTTTCAATTCTTCACTGTTTCAGATTTAAAATTCTTCATTTTTTCGATTTTTCAGGTTTTTGATATTTTCATTTTTTTCTTTTAAATTGTATATTTTCTGATTTCTAGATTTTTCACTATTTCAGTTTCTCTATTTTTCGATGTTTCCAGTATTGAGATTTTCCAATTTAGCGATTCAATTTTTCTTAGCTTTATTTATCACTTTTGAAATGTTGAAAAAATATATATTTTAGTTTTGTGATTCTTTAATATTTCGATTCATTTTTCGATTTTTCCATTTTTCAATTCTTGGATTTTTGCGATTTCTTGATTTTTCAACTTTTCGATTTCTCAATTTGTCGATGTTTTAGTTTTGGGATTTTTCAATTTATCGATTCTTCAATTCTTCTTCGATTTTTCGATTTATCAAATATTCCATATTTCACTTCTGAGATTTATCAACATTAAATTCTTCGATTTTTCGGTTTTTTGATTTTTTACTTTTCCTATTTTTCAATTTTTCAATTTTTCACGCTTCTATATTTTCTATTTTCAGATTTTTCAATTTTTATAGTTTTTCAATTTTTTGAAAGGCTAAATTTTAGATTTTTAATTTTTTGACGTTTCAGTTTTTCAATTATTCAAATTTTTTCATTTTTTAATTTTTTCTTTCAAATTTTCTATTTTTCGATTTCTAGATTTTTCAGGTTTTCAATTTCTCCATTTTTCGATGTTTCAGTTTTGAGATTTTCTCAAATTATCTGTTCAATTTTCCAAAGAAAAATTGCTTTTTTTGCTTTCGATTTTTCGATTTATTTATCACTTTTGGAATTCTTCAATATTTTGATTCCTCAGTTTTACAATTTTTCGATCTTTGTTTACTCGGATTTCTTAGTTTTCGATGTTGCAGTTTTGAGACTTTTTAATTTTTCGATGCCTCAATTTTTCGATTTTTCTTTCGATTTATCGCTAAGGATCCCAAAACTGAAATATTGAAGAAATATGTATACTTTATTTTTCGATTTCTTTATTTCTCGATGTTTTATATAATAATAATAATATAATAATAGGTTTATTCATTCCAACAGACGTTAGTCTATGGTGGACATGTATACACAAAAAGACATTAAATTCAACTTAAACTAAACTTACAATTTAAAAAAAATCTAAAAAAAAAAAAATCTAACATCAGAACAAATATTATGTACATATATTATTGTGCATATCGTGCTAATAACTTTTTTTTGAAAGATGCTTTATTAAAATTAGCGTGAAAAATATCAATGCTATCGTCTAAAGTACAGTTATTATAAAGTCTAAAACATGTAATTAAGGGGCTATTAAAGTGATGATAAGAATTAGGAATTTGATAGTAAAAAGTGGATGGATTTCTGCACAATAAACGAGGAACACAAAACTTAATATTATTTAGTAACGCTGGACAGAATATATCACCACGCACCAATTTCTGCAAAAATACAAAACAAGCAATATTTCGTCTATACTCGAGAAAATTTTCATTCACTATATTAAGAAGAGCTCTCTGGTTACAATGACTAACAGGATAACAGTCGAACATTTTAAAATACAGATACTTAGCAAATTTCCTGTTAACGTTTTCTATAATATTAATGTAAATTTGGTGATGAGGTCTCCAAATTATAGAACAGTATTCTAATTTTGATCTAACTAGACTATAATAAAGCTGTTTAATACATAAAATATTATTAAATTCTTTAGTATTTCTACAGATGAAGCCAAGTGTTTTGATAGCTGAATTTGTTATATCAATGATATGAGGAACAAATGACAATGCAGAGTCTACAATTATGCCTAAATCGCGTATTTGATTACAGTTTTCTAGCAAAGTTCCATTAATATTGTAATAAAAATTAAAATTAGTGTCTTTCCTGGAGAATGTAATTTTTCTACATTTTTTTTTATTAAGGCTTAACTTATTCTGTTCACACCACAGCGCTAATTTATCTACATTATCTTGTAAAACTAAACAATCTCTGTTCGTTTTTATTACTTTAGCTATTTTTAAATCATCGGCATATATAAACACTCTACAACTGATAACATTTAGGACATCATTGAAAAAAACAGTAAACAACAGCGGGCCTAGGTTTGAGCCTTGAGTAACTCCGCTGTTCACAGGAAAGAATGTTGACTTGACTCCGTGAATTTCAACAAATTGTTCCCTACCAAACAGGAGATTTCTAAAAATCATTAACAGCTGATGACATATTCCTAATGTATCAAGTTTTTTTAACAATATGCAATGATCTACCCTATCAAAAGCTTTGGATAAATCAGTGTATATGGCATCAACTTGAAAGCGATTATCTAAAGCTAAGGATACATATTCAGTGAATTCACATAAATTGGTGACAGTGGATCTTCCTTTTATAAATCCATGCTGTTCTAAGGCAATTTTTGAAATACAGTGGGTATACAGGAAGTCTGACATAATACATTCAAATAATTTAGAATAGTTCGATATAAGTGCTATCGGTCTGTAATTTACAATGTTAGCTTTGTCACCAGCTTTAAATACAGGAAATACACGAGACACTTTCCACATTTGTGGATAAATAGACGACTTTAAAATTAAGTTGTATATATGACATAAAGGTTTTAACAAATACTGAAGACAATCAATCACTAAAAATGCCGGTATATCATCTGGACCACAAACGAAATTTGGTTTAATTTTTTTCGCAGCTTTTAAAATATCACAGTCATTAATCACAGGCAGGTTGAATATGAGATTGTTATCACAGACAGAATTATCACAGATGGAATTATCACAAATAGGATTATCACTTACTAAAGAGCATCGGCAGCTTCCGCAGTATTCACAGTTAGTTTTATTACAACTTGATGCAACACAGGGTTTATGGTTGTCATTGGTGTAAACACTTGCGAATTGTGATGCGAATGCGTTCACTATGTCTTGCGGATTAGACATTATAACACCATCACCAGCTGTCATGCAACTGGGAACACAAGTAGTTTTCCTCCTTTTATTTACGAATGACCAAAACTTCTTTGGGTCATTTTGAAGTGAATTTTCAGCTTCACTGATGAAGACTTTATAAGCTTGCCGAATATTACGTCGTATGTCGCATTTTAGAATTCTTATTCTGTCCAAGTAAGTTAACAATTTACTTTTCCTATAGAGATCCCATAGCCTGTGTTTTTCTTTAATGCTGGATATAATCGTTTTTGTGAACCAGGGAGGGTAATATGTCTTCGCTGATGACGAACACTTCGGAACATAAATATTTAATAATTTAAAATTGATATCATAAAATGTAGAACATGCTGTCTCAACATCCACTGTGTCTAAAACTTCTGACCAGTCAGTTTCAATAAAGGCATTATACAATCTTACTAAATCTGCTTTACGAAAATTAAATTTTACTGTGTTCGATGTTCTTGGAAATGGATTACTTGATTGGTCTTTGATAAATAAATTGATGTCCAAGCAAGGGTGGTGAGCATCTTCACGAACTAATGGAAAATTGCTATTTGCTACTTCAGCTGAGACTTCATCAGTTGTCAAAACTATGTCCAAGATTCTGTTGTTGGAGTTTAAAACTGAATTATGTTGTTTCAAATTATTCATGGAAATGAAGTGAGAATAAATATTGAAGATGTGTGACGAGTTCCGGCCAGATGCACAATCTACTAACTCAGGTATATTAAAATCGCCTACAATAACAACCGGATTTGAAAAATCAATGGCACTTTCAATATACTCAAAGATTTGAGTGTATGCATCAACATGTAATGCTGGCGGAATGTATATCACAACGAAAATGAAAGTACTATTACCTTGAACTTTGATACCAATAAGATCTATCTCAGGTACCGGAGAAATAAGGTTTAGTCGTTCAGCTACAAAACCAATTTTGACTGCCGCTAGTACGCCACCGCCTCTTCTCTTATTTCTGTCACATCGAAAGATTTCAAAATCTTGAGGAAAAAGTTCAGCTGAAAAAACATTTTCATGAAGCCATGTTTCGGTCAGTAACAATATATCTGCTTCTATGTCACAGCAGTTGTTATAAAATTCTTGCACTTTAGAATTCAAACCACGCACATTTTGGTAAATTAGTGTATATGTTGATGTAGTATTGAGTATGTTATAATTAATAGATGACGATGAATTGGATGTCTGTTGGATGTTCATTCGTTTTTTGTTTCAACAATTTTCGGCATGCCATTGTAGTATCTTAATCGAATATTATTTTCACCATTGTCACGACGCCTTTTAAATTCCTTACGAACAGCAAAAGCCCTATTCTGTTGAATGTTTTAGTTTTGGTATTTTTCAATTTATCGATTCCTCAATTCTTCTTCAATTTTTTGATTTATTAAATTTTCCATATTTCAGTTTTGTGATTTTTCAATATTCAATTCTTCGATTTTTCGATTTTCTGACTTTTAACTTATTCTATTTTTCAATTTTTCAATTCTTCTAGCTTTTCTATTTTTAGATTTTTCTATTTTTTTGTTTAATCACTTTTTCAATTTTTCGACTATTCCATTTTTCGATTTTTCCACTTCTCGATTTCTTTTCGATATTTCCATTTTTCGATTTCTTCATTTTTCGATTTTTCAATTCTTGGATTTTTGGATATTTAGTTTTTGGATTTTTCAGTTTATCGGTTCCTCAATTCTTCTTCGATTTTTCGATTTATCAAATATTCCATATTTCAGTTTTGGGATTTTTCAATATTAAATTTTTTACTTTTCCTATATTTCAATTTTTCAATTCTTCACCCTTCTATAGATTTTCTAATTTCAGCTTTTTCGATTTTTTCATTTCTCGATTTCTTTTCGATAATTCGATTTCTCGATTTCTCGATTTTTCAGCTTTTCAATTGTTCACTTTTTCGTGTTTTAAATTTTTCGTTTTTTCGATGTTTTAGATTTTTGATATTTTAGTTATTTCCTTTTAAATTTTCTATTTTCCCCTTTTTAGATTTTTAATTTTTTCAATTTCTCTATTTTTCGATGTTTGAGATTTTCCAATTTATCGATTCAATTATTCTTCTATGACTTTTGGAATTCTTCAATATTTTAATTCCTCAAAGTTTCGATTTTTCGACTTTTCAATTTTTCAATTTTTTGTTTACTCGGTTTTTTAATTTCCCGATTTCTCAGGTTTCGATGTTTCAGTTTTGAGACTTTTTAATTTATCGATTCTTGAATTCTTCTTCGATTTTTCGAGTTTTCCATTTTTCAATTTTTCGATGTCTCAAAATTTCGATCTTTTGTTCGACTTATCGCTAAGAATCGCCAAAACTGAAACACTAAAGAAATATACGAGTACTTCAGCTTTGAGATTCTTTAATATTTCGATTCATTTTTCGATTTTTCAATTCTTGGATTTTATTGATTTCTTGATTTTTCACCTTTTCGATTTCTCAATTTCGCGATGTTTTAGTTTTGGGATTTTTCAGTTTATGGATTCTTCAATTCTTCTTCGATTTTTCGATTTATCAAATATTCCAATTTTCGAGTTTTCGATGAATGCCAAAACTGAAATATCGAAGAAATATATTTCAGGTTTGGGATGCTTTAATATTTCGATTAATTTGTTGATTTTTCGATTTTTCTACTCTTGGATTTTTTTATTTCTTGATTTTTCATTTTTACGATTTTTCAAATAACCGATTTTTTAAATTTTATAATTTTTGATTTCTCGATTTTCTCGATATTTCAATTTTTATATTTTTTCAGTTTTTCGAAATTTCAAATTTTTGATTTTTAATTTTTTAACGTTTTAGTTTTTCAATTATTTTTGTGTGGTCAATTTTTCATTTTTTCGATTTTTCAGGTTTATGATTTTTAAATTTTTTCTTTTAAATTTTCCATTTTTCGATTTCTAGATTTTTCAGGTTCTCAATTTCTCCATTTTTCGATGTTTCAGTTTTAAGATTTTTTAATTCATCGATTCTGCAATTTTGCTTCGATTCTTGATTTTTCAATTTTTTTACGTCTCGATTTTTCGATTTAAGGCTAAGAATCCCAGAACTGAAATATCGGCGAAATATATTTCAATTTTGAAATTCTTCATTTTTCGATTTTTCAATTCTTGGATTTTTTGATTTCCTCATTTTTCAGTTTTTCGATTTTTCAAATTTTCTGATTTTTTAAATTTTATGTTTTTTGATTCCTCGATTTGTCGATTTCCCGATTATTTTTCAATTTTTCGATTTCTCAATTTTTGGTTATTTTAGTTTTTGGATTTTTCAATATTCAATTCATCGATTTTCCACCTTTTCAATTTCTCCATTTTTCGATATTTCAGTTTTGACATTTTCCAATTTATCGATTCAATTTTTTTTCGATTTTTAGTGTTCTCGATTTTTTTATTTATTTATCGGTTTCGGAATTCATCAATATTTTGATTCTTCAAAGTTCCGATTTTTCGATTTTTTGTTTACTCGGTTTTTTAATTTATCGATTCCTCAATTTTTCTTCGAGTTTTCGGTTTTTCGATGTCTGAATTTTTCGATTGATTATTATTATTATTATTATTATATATTATATAATTCCGAGAAGACTTTCCCAATAACATCGTGGACTATGTCTATTTTTCCAACGCATTATATTGTATGTGATAAGGGTTTTTTTTTTAGTATATAATCAATTAATAATATAACATTTAACGGTTGGCAATTATCTATTTATACCAAAGTTCATGGTTATGTGTGTACGCTGTAGTTGACAACAAAACCATATTTTTCTCTTTATACTGAATGCACCAAATGACCAAATGATAATTTTTTTGAAAACTGAACGCAAATTTTAGGACTCGACGAAATTGCAGACGAAAGGTCTGTTGGTGAGACTTTTTATTAAGTAAACAGAGAAACAGATGATTGGCCAGTTTTAGAAGTTAATCGGTTTGCAATAATTTGTTTGTTGGATTTTTTCCTCAGGTCGAATAAAAAAATGGAACAACTTTTTTTAATTTGTCATTCAAATCAACTCGTTTGCCGGCTCGTGTGCTTTTCATTGCTATTCAAGTCTGTTACCATCTATTACTAATGTTACTACATTTAGGAAAATATAATTCGATAACATAAAACTTTATTTTCTCGTAAAAGACAAACGTGAGCACCCATTTAACAAAAAAATACTAAAGTTAAACAAAAAAGTTGTATAACGGGCAACTGAAAATGTGCAATTCCACCTCGTTGGACTAGACCCCATCGAACAAGTCAACCACAGGCACTTTTTCCAACAGATTATTAAATAGTTTTTCAAAACTTCGAATAAACATCCCGGGGAACAGCCGTTGCCAAAATATCGCAATATTTAACCAGTTTTTATCCATTAGGGCATTCAATCCTTTATCTAAGTCTTCGTTTCCAACAATTTTCTTAAAGTCGTAGTGGACTGATGTGGGAACAAATAACATTTTGCTCCCCGTTACCTTATAGTGTATGTCATTTCCTTGTTTGAATTCTTGTAGAGGGAACGTCATTTTAAAAGTCGATGAATCTGAAAAAAAAGTAACTTCAACTGCGAAAGTTAAAAAATAAAATTCTCAATATCAAATTTCGACCAATCTATCGTTCTAGTAAAATTTAATTACCACCTAAATCTATGTGGTAACCAGTGTTGGGGATAGATACTTTTAAAAGTATCTAGATACAGATATAGATATATGGAAGATAAAAGTATCTAGAATTCTAGATACAGATTGTTTTCGATTTTTTCGAAATGTATCTAGATACAGATACAAGAAAACAGGTACTTTTTGAAGATTTGGCGAATAAAATAACTGAAAACATGTTTGTATATTTTTTTATGTATTGTTTAATGAATTTTTTAAAATTAACAACATTTCGAACGTATTGTCACCTAAATTATTTCTTCTTGGTGTCAGAATTTGGTTTCCGCTACTAAACACCCGTTCCACAGGTGCAGAAGAAGAGATTGTGGTATTAAATTTAAAAAATAAACATTTTACTGTGGCATAGTTATTCAAGACTGAAAAATCTTTTCTTTTTTCCTGCAAATAGGCCATCGCTTCGCTGGCTGATGTGTCGCAAATTGTGCAATATTTATTACGTACACATAAAAAGAATATTTTTTGTTTGTTTTATTCCCATACTAGAGTATCCAAATTGTGTTTGAGTATGTCTAATAATTATCTCCAGCATTAAAATTACTATTTCAAAAGAATACGGGAAATGATTATTTTGTGCTGAAGGCCTGTTGTCGGCAACCTGTCATAAATTATTATACTTCAATATCGGCTTACGATGTTTTTATGACCATGTCCGGTAATCGTCTATCCCGGTGAGGCAGGTATATATACATTTTAGGAAGAATTGCTGGTTCAATTTCTTAGAAAGCTATTTAAACCCCTTATAGGATCAAAGGCTGCCTGGCAGGCCGGAATCACCAGAGTGCAACTTTAAATTTTCAGATTTTTGTTGAAACTCATTTTATTTTAATCTCGTTTCACGATTTCTGAGAATATATCACGATAAATTAATCTACCCAGGGTTGTAAAAATATTAATTTTATTGCCCAAGATTTACACATAATCGGCACATCTAGGGCAAAACGGACCTGCCAAGCCCGCCTCGCGTTAGGTCCAACAATGAAAAAGTGAAGAAATGACACATGTGGCAACAGAAAAAGATGCTACATTTGTCTGAAAAATAAAGATATAAAACAGTAAGAAATATGCGATTTATGCGAGAGAAATGTATGTATTGAACATTCGGTTAGTCGATTACAAAACTAATTTGTGCTAATTGAAAAAATTAATGATTATAACACGCAATTATTATTTTCAAAAAATAATAACATACCTTAAACAAATATTTTTACTATTAAAATTACTCTTATTTAATAATAATAACACAAAAGATGGCGAACCAGTCTATACGTGTTTCGTGCGCTCTGTGCAATACTAACATTGACGATGTGAATACAGTGATTACATGTACCATCTGCAGTAAGAACTTCCACTCCGATATCTCTAGTGTTGAAGGTGAAGGGTCATTAGAGATAACCCAAAACACGAAGCCAAGAAAAAACATCAAACAACCAACAGCTGATGTAAATAAACAAAGTCCAAATCCGACTTCACCTAAGACGTTTCACGAGGAAAGCGGTAAGCCCGAAAATGGAAAAAACCAGTGTGAGTCATTACAGACAAGTATGGTTAATAACAGAAAGAGAGAAGCTTCAACGACATTAGCGAAGACCAATATTGTTAATAAACAATAATCGTTAGTAAAAGAAGCGATTCTGTGACGATAAGGACATCGCCAGCCAAAGCCTATCTATACATCAGAAGACTTGCCAAGAGTACAACCGCTGCCGATCTGAAAGAATACTTGGTGGAAGACTTCCCAGAAGTTGTCTGTGAACCTCTGGAGAACTATGAAGCGTCTCACTCAAGATTCAAGGTTACTGTTAATTTTGATAATCTTGAAAAGATCTACAATCCGGATTACTGGCCAAATGGAGTCCTAATCTCAAGGTTTTTTCATCCCAGAAGTCCAAAAATTCAACAGAAATAACATCAGGCCAGCATTACAAGACGGATCTGCTAAAACCAGCCTTGAAAACTCTCATGATGACAACATGTTTCGAAGCATTACCTTAAAAATTGCTAACCAAAATATTCAAAGTCTGGGGAACAAAGCTGTACGCCTAGAGTATCATCATCAAAGTACCGATGTATTAGTCATAACAGAACATTGGATGGACTAGCAAAGAATCTTAAATTTCAAATTGGGTAATTTTTTGTTAGGTAGTTATTTCTGTATCAGTAGATCATGGAGGAGTAGCTATATTTGTTCGTGAAAAAATTGTTAAATATAAGGAACTTATGTTTGTGAAAAATATTTCTGTTATCAATGTGATAGAGTGTTGTGCCGTAGAAATTCCAAATTATCATTTAATCATTGTGGGTATTTACAGACCTCCTGCAACAAACCTTCAGAATTTAAACATCTTTTTTGATAGAATAAGTTGGATACTGTCACACCTCTCTAAATTTAAAGACAGACATATAGTAATCACTGGTGATTTTAATATTCATTTCAATGATAGCAATAACAAGGAAACAAAAAAATTACATGATATCTTAACTGTGTACAATATGACGCCCATGTCTACTGCACCGACAAGAGTGACCCCCTCCAGTAGTTCATGTCTGGATAACATCTGTGTGAGTATTGTCCATAATTGTCACTTTTCAGTACTTAACGACTTCGTATCTGACCATTCTGGTCAGATGTTGCTACTTCACATTGATGAAAATATATCAAAAGCCAAAGTGGACCTCACTCAAAGGCGGATTTTCTCTAACGACAATATTACTTATTTTTGTAAACTTTTATCAACTCAAAAGTGGGATACTGTCTTAAAGGAAGAGGATGTGAATGTAAGTTTCAATCTGTTATGCAATATTTTAAGCAATGCATTTTCAACTGGTTTTCCTTTAAAAACTATCAAATCTAATTCAATTAAAAATAAACAAGATCTGTGGGTGACGGATGAAATAATTAGAATGAAAAATCGTGTGGCACTATATGCAAATCTATCCATCAAGTATCCTATATTTAAACCGATTTTTTCATTGCTTAACAGTCAATATCAAGATATGTTAGTAGCAAGGAGGAAGGCCTATAATGATAATCTGATTATGACTGCAAACAATAAAAGCAAGGCCACTTGGAGAATTATAAATAGAATAACGAATAAAAGTTTTAAGGACTCTAATATTGAAATTTTTGAAAATGTGACTTGTTCTGTTAAGGAAAGTGCCGAAAAACTTAATAATTTCTTTGCTAGTGTGGCGCACAACTGTACCTACTGCCAATTTACCGAATACCATAGATATTGACTTTGTCAGAAGTAGCATTCCTTCAAATTTACATAGTTTTTTTTTGCACCACTAACGAATAGTGATGTTGGTAGTGCAATAAATAAATTGAAATCTTCAACGTCAGCCGTTGAAGATGGCATCTGCAATAATTTATTGAAGGCGGTGTCGGAATTTATAGCTACCCCATTAACTTATATTTTTACCTTGTCCTTCTTAAAGGGCACATATCCTGATTCGTTAAAGAATGCTCTAATTATTCCTCTTTTTAAGAAGGGTGACCGTAATGCAGCGGAAAACTACCGCCCTTTCAGTCTCCTGCCATGCATTGGCAAAATTCTTGAAATCATTGTAAATGATAGACTCACAGGCTTTTTAGAAAAATATAATCTCTTGCACAATTGCCAGCATGGATTCAGAAAAAGCTTTAGTACTGACACTGCACTCAGCCAATTCATTCACAACATTCAGTTATCACTTGATATAAATTTAACAACCATGGGTTTGTATGTGGATTTCACTAAAGCCTTCGATTGTGTGAACCATCAAATACTAATTGAAAAACTTCATAGATATGGAATTCGTGGGGTTGCTCTAGATTGGTTTACCTCTTACTTATCCAGTCGTTCGCAAAAGGTGCAGTTACATAATGCCACCTTCTCCTCGTTAAGAAGTGTAGATTGCGGAGTGCCTCAAGGGTCGATCCTCGGGCCTACTTTGTTTATTATCTATGCTAATGACCTTCATTTGTATTTACAAAAGCTTCCTAATGTTTTGCAAATCTATTATGCTGATGATTCAAATTTTTTGATAACTGGTAACAGTCTACAAGAAGTTGCTTCTATTTCAACCGGACTATTGTAAAGCATAACTTTATGGTGTAACAAAAATAGGCTTGTGATTAATAATGACAAAACAACGCACATGTTATTTCGGAAAAGGTATAGTAGTTTTGAAAACTTTCTTAATATCTCATTGTCTAATTCTAGTAAATTACTGGGAGTTGTAGTTGACAACACATTGTCATGGACGTCACATATTGACTATATTTGTGGTAAACTAACAAAGGTTTGTTATATGCTTAAAAGTGCTTCGCATCACTGTAGCAGGGATATCCTGATAACTCTATACTTTGGTCACTTCCACTCAATACTTGCCTATGGCATTGAGAATTGGTACAGATCATCTCAATTTGAAATTAATCGGGTGTTTAAAATACAAAAATGGGCAATTCGTACCATCGCAGGTCTGAAAAGATTGGATTCTTGCAGACCATTCTTTAAGATTTACAATATTCTTACTGTTGCTAATATTTACATAATACATATGCAAGGTATTATGTTTTGCCTTTAAATATAGAGGAAAGTTTCAAACCTGTGGTGCTACTCATACATATTTTACCAGAAACAGGAAATGTCTTCTACCTGAGAAACATGTTACATCAAAATACCAAAGAAGTTTATTCTTTAATTCGTGTAAACTTCATAATAACCTGCCGAACGATATAAAAAAAAAAATAGATAATTTTTTTACATTCAAGAAAACTATTAAACGATATTTATTAGAACAAAATTGTTATGCTGTTAACGAATATTTTAATTGATATGTCTCCGTTTTTAATTTTTAATTTTTAATTTGTTTTGTACCTAATTATTTATGTAATGTAATCGATTACTTTGCTATGACGTGCAAAAATGTATACATGTTGTATATGTTTTTATGAAATACGTATATTATTATTATTATTATTATTATTATTATTATACAACCAGCGGGCCTACCAGATCCGGGTTGCTCAGGTACAAAGATAAAATGCATTGCCCCGATAAGCGTAAAACGCAGTGAATAGTGAATTGTGGTTTATGGTTTTTAAAATACCACCTTACCATGGCTTGGATTTATTACCCCTCAGGATTATATTTAAAGATGTATAAGTAGGTACTGAAGGCTACAATGTAATAAATTATGGTATTTAAAATATGAAAATTTCCATGACAGAACACTATTAGTGGACCTCTTATCTCGATTTTTGTTTATGTAACCAAAATCACCAACATGAAGTATCAAAAATTACTACTAGTATAACTCAAGTAATAACTACTGAAAAAAAAGTGAAATAAAAAATGTATCTGTATCTGCGCCATTAATTTTGTATCTAGATACAGATATTTTGTGCTTAAATTCGATTTTATCCTAGATACAGATACTAGATACCCAAAAATGCATCTGGATACTTTATTTAGACACAAGTATCTAGATACTGCCCAACACTGATGGTAACAATGGAAAAATATACTTACTGAGAGTGGCAGCTGCTTCAGTGACAACTTCCACAGGCACCAAAACCATCCTTCCGTGAGCTTCATACTCAAAGCTGCACACCAACTTAGGTGCAACAAGATCGAGATATAAAATTTTATGCACAAAGTCCATTCTACAAATTACCCACCACTGATTCTCATTACAAATTTTGCTATAGCGTACGAACCTGGCGTCAGTACTTTTGATGTTTGTGAAACCAGAAATTTTGAATTTGCTGAATTTTTGTCGCAGGCCCGTTATCTCTTCTCCAAACACAAATGTTCTTTCATTGGGTGTCACATAAGGGTCGAAACTGACTAAACCGTATTCAGCCAGAGGTTTGTTCAAGTGTTTTATGGCGTCTTGGATTGCTGACGACAAACATTTGTCGAAATCGGGCTTTCCTTTGTCACATTTTTTGAAATTTGTTGCTGTGAAATTGGTGTCAAAATGGGTGTGAAGTTTGAGTGAGGAGACTTACGTAGTTTTGCAGATTGGTATTGATGTAGTGTTGATAAAACAACCAGAATAATTGTTGTTGTTTGCTTCATGGTTAATAACGTGGGATCTATGGATGTGCTGAATGGACTTTTATTTATATGTATCTATATTAATTGACTGATGTTTATACAATGATTTGTGTTTTTATATACATTTTGCAACGATACAGTTTTATAATAATTATTATGTTGTTTAAATGGCCAAGGTCTTGTAAATTATTATTTTTCCAGAAAATGTGATTCTTGATTGAACGTTATTGCTATTTTTTTTCTGTAATAAAGAAATATACGTTACCTACTTGCCTTGGTTTTGCAGAAAAGTAAACAGTTGAGTTCATGTTTGTTGATTTAAATGTTATGAGTTATTATAGTCCTGAAGTTGTGGTTTATGAATCCGTTATGAATTTTTATCCTAAACATCGACATTTTTGAAATAATGTCCAAATTTATGGATTTTTCTATTTTTGAGTTCTCAATTTCTCGATTTTTCAGTTTTGGCGTTCCTAAATTTTTAATTTTCTCATTTACCGACTTTTCAATTTTCGATTTTTTAGTTTCTGAATTTTTCAATTTTTAAAATTTCAGGTTCCTGGTTCTTCAATTTTTCGATTTTTTGATTTCTGGGTTTTTGATGTTTCGATTCCCCGATTTTTCAATTTTTTGATATTTTAATTAATCAATTTTTAAAATTTCTAGATTTCTCGACCTTTCAATTTTCCAGTTCTTCGATCTTTCAATTTTTCCAATTTTTAAATTCTAAATTTTTCAGTTTTTTGATGTTTTTAATTTTTCCATTTTTCGATTTTTCGACTTCTCTATTTGAGATTTTTCGTTTTTTCACTTTTTCCATCTTTAATTTTTGGAATTTTGTACAATTTTGGTCTTTCAATTCTTCGATTTTTCGAAATCTGGATGTTTTAATTTTCGGTTTTTTATTTCTTCGAATTTTAAATTTTAATTTTTGATTTTTCGATTGTTTGATTTTTCAATTTTTTGATATTTTAATTTTTCAATTGTTACAATTCTAAATTTTTTAATTTCTCGATTTCTCGAGATTTCGATTTTCCAGTTATTCGACCTTTCGATTTTTCCAATTTTCATGTTCTAGATTTGAGACTTTTCGGTTTTTGAATTATTCGAATTTTAAAATTTTTGAATTTTCGATTTTTAATTTTTCGGTTTTTAAGTTTATTTAATTTTCTTTTTTCGATTTTTTAATTGTTCTATTTCTCGATTTATCGAGATTTCGAACTTTTCGATTTTTCAGCTTTTTGATTTATGCATTTTTCCACTTTTGATTTCGCAACTTTTCGATATTTCAGTTTTTGGGATTTTTCGCCTCTTCAATTTTTCGAGTTTAAAATATTTTAATTTTTGACGTTTCTAAATTTTTAATTTTTCGATTTTTCAATCTCGATTTTTCAATTTTCCAAATTTCATTTTTCTGATTTTCCAACTTTTGATTTCTGAGTCATTCGAAATATTACCAGTTTTGGGATTTGTAGGTTTTTTTAAACTTCAATTTCTCGATTTTTTAATTTTACATTTTCCCAATTTTCAATTTTTCGATTAGTCAGTTTTTGAATATTTCAGTGCTGATTTTTAGATTTTAAAATTTTTCAATTTGTCAGTTATCCAATTTTTCAAATTTTCAAATTTTGGTGTTTCTAAATTTTCAAATTTTCGATTTCTCAACCTCGCTATTAATTGATTTTTTTGATTTTCCCATTTCTCGATTTCTCGACTTTTCATTGTTTCGTTTTTCAGTTTTTCAGTTCTTCAATTCGATTTTACGAGTTTCCGGTTTCTCAATTTTTCAGTTTTTTGATTTCTCAATTTTTTGATGTTTCAGTTGTGGAAGTTTTCATTTTTTGATTCTTCAATTTTTCTTCTACTTTTCAATTATTCGATATTTCAGTTTTGAAATTCGGTAGTTTTTCGATTTTTTCAGTTGTAGATTTTTTGACTTTTTTATTTTCAAATTTTCCGATTTCTCGATGTTTCAATATTTCGGACTTCAAGTTTTTAATTTTCCAGTTTTTCGACTTTAAAATTTTTAACTTTTCGATTTCTCCATTTTTTTTCATTTTCGATTTTTAAATTTTAGATTTTTGAATTTTTCAATGTTTCGATTTTTTCGATGTTTCGATTTCTCGATTTTTCAATTTTTCAATTTTTTAATTTTTCGATTTTACGATTTTTGATATTTCAATTTCTTGACATCCGGGTTATTTGATTTTTAAAATTTTTCGACTTCTCGATTTCTAGATTTTTTGATTTTTCAAGTTTTTTATGTCTCAATTTTCCATTTTAATTTTGGGAACTTCTCAATTTTTGATTTTTTAACTTTTCAGATTTTGATTTTTCCGTTTTCCCAATTTCCCATTTTTAAAATTTTTGATTTCACAGTTTTGGAAATTTTCAATTTTTTGATTTTTCAATTTTTCTTCCATTTTTTGATTTCTCCATATTTAAATTTACGGATTTTGCACTTCAATTTTTTTTCGGTTTTTCGATTTCTAGATTTTTTAATTTTCGATTTTTCAATTCTTCGATTTTTCATTTCTTCGATTTTTAAATTTTACAGTTTTTCAATTTTTCAATTATTCATTTTTTCCAATTTTCAATTTTTCAATTTTTCCAATTTTCAATTTTTCAATTTTTCACTTTTTCAATGTTCAATTTCTCAATTTTTCAATGTTTCAATTTTACAATTTTTCAATTTTTCAATTTCTAGTTTTCTCGACTTTTCAATGTTTCGTTTTTCCAGTTTTTCATTTCTTCAATTTTCCGATTTTTCAATTCTCGATTTTCAGGTTCCTGATTTTCCGACTTCGATTTTAACACTTTTTTTTGGGTTTCACAATTTTTTCAATTTTTTAATTTCTGAATTTTATGATATTTCAGTCTTGGGAATTTTCACATTTTTGATTTATCAATTTTTCTTTCATTTTTCAGTTATTCGATATTTCAGTTTTAGGATTTTGTAATTTTTCCGTTTTTCGAATTTCAGGTGCTTGATTTTTCAATTTCTCCATTTTTTGACTTTTAAATTTTTCGATTTTTTGATTTTTCAATTTTTCGATTTCCCAGTTTTTCGTCGTTTCAATTTTGCAATTTTTCAGTTTTTCAATTGTTCGATTTTCCGATTATTGCATTTTTGCTTTTTTAAATTGTAAAATTTTGATTTCTATATTTCTCCTTTTTTTCCATTTTCGCTTTTTCGATTTTTTAATTTTAGATCTTTGAATTTTTTTAATTTTTCGATTTTTTTGATGTTTCGATTCCTTGACATCTCGTTCACTCAGTTTTTAAAATTATTGCACTGTTCGATTTTTAGATTTCTCGATTTTCAACTTTTCGATATTGTGATTTTCCTAATTTTTTGCTTTTTTAACTGCTCAACCTTTCGATTTTATGACTTTTCAAACTTTGATTTTTCGGATTTTCAATTTCTCATATTTGAAAATTTTTTATTTTTCAATTTTTCTTTTTTTCGGTTTTTAAAATTTTGCGACTTTTTGATTTCTCAATTATTTGATGTTTCAGTTTTGGGATTTTTCAAGTGAATTTTTCTTTAACTTTTCAATTATTCGATATTTCAGTTTTAGGATTTTGTAATTTTTTAGGTTTTTCGATTTTTCGATTTTTTTATTTTTTCGATCTTGGAAATTAAAATTTTTCACTTATATGATTATTTGATTTTTGTTTTTCCGATTTCTCGATTTTTCAATTTTTTGATTTTCCGGTGCTTGATTTTTCAATGTTTCCTTTTTTTGACTTCTAAAGTTTCGATTTTTCAATTTTTAACATTTTGATTTTCCGCTTTTGGACTAGTTGGATTTCTCGGTTTTTCGATTTTTCGATTCTTCAGTTTTTCGATTTCCCAGTTTTTCGTCGTTTCACTTTTGCAATTTTTCAGTTTTTCGATTTTTCAATTTTTGCTTTTTTAAATTGTAAAATTTTAATTTCTATATTTCTCCGTTTTTTCCATTTTCGATTTTTCGATTTTTTAATTTTAGATCTTTGTATTTTGCAATTTTTCGATTTTTTTGATGTTTAGATTTAGTGACATCTCGTTTATTCGATTTTTGAAATTTTTGCGGTATCCGATTTTTAGATTTCTCGATTTTCAATTTTTGGATATTTTAATTTTTCTATTTTTTGCTTTTTTAACTGCTCAACTTTTCGATTTTATGACTTCTCGGACTTTGATTTTGCGGCTTTTCAATTTCTCATTTTTAAAATTTTCGATTTTTCCATTTTTCAGTTTTTCGGTTTTTAAAATTTTGTGATTTTTCGATTTCTCATTTATTTGATGTTTCAATCTAAGGAGTTTTCACTTTTTTGATTCATCAGTTTTTCTTTCACTTTTCAATTATTCGATATTTTATTTTTAGGATTTTGTAATTTTTCGGTATTTCGATTTCTTGATTTTTTATTTTCCGATTTCTCGATTTTTCAATTTTTCGATTTCCCAGTTTTTCGTCGTTTCAGTTTTGCAATTTTTCAATCTTCCAATTCTTCAATTCCCCGATTTTTCAATTTTTTAATTATAGATCTTTGAATTTTACAATTGTTCTATTTTTTTGATGGTTCGATTTCTTGACATCTCGGATTTTTGAAATTTTTGCGCTCTTCGTTTTTCGATTTTTGGATACTTTAATTTTTCTATTTTTTGCTTTTTAACTGCTCAACTTTTCGATTTTATGATATTTCGGACTTCGATTTTTCAGCTTTTCAATTTCTCATTTTTTAAATTTTTGATTTTTCAATTTTTCAGTTTTTCGGTTTTTCAAATTTTGTGATTTTTCGTTTTCTCATTTATTTGATGTTTGTCTTAGGAGTTTTCACTTTTTTGATTCATCAATTTTTTTTTCACTTTTCAATGATTCGATATTTCAGTTTTAGGATTTTGTAATTTTTCGGTTTTTCGATTTCCTGATTTTTTATTTTCCGATTTCTCGATTTTTCAATTTTTCGATTTCCCAGTTTTTCGTAGTTTCAGTTTTGCAATTTTTCAGTTTTTTAATTCTTCAATTTCCCGATTTTTCAATTTTTGCTTTTTTAAATCGTAAAATTTTAATTTCTATATTTCTCCGTTTTTTTTCATTTTCGATTTTTCGATTTTTTAATTTTAGATCTTTGAATTTTGCAATTTTTCTATTTTTTTGATGTTTCGATTTCTTGACATCTCGTTTATTGGATTCTTGAAATTTTTGCGCTCTTGTTTAAATTGTAAAATTTTAATTTCTATATTTCTTCGTTTTTTCCATTTTCGATTTTTCGATTTTTTAATTTGAGATCTTTGAATTTTTGTATATCTTAATTTTCCTAGTTTTTGCTTTTTTAACTACTCAACCTTTCCATTCTATAACTTTCCGAACTTTTTCGGCTTTTCAATTTCTCATTTTTTAATTTTTGATTTTTGATTTTTCAATTTTTTTTATTTTTCTAAAAGCAATTTTTTTGGCTTATTGTCTGCCTTAACAGCTATTTGGGCTTATCTCACGTAATAATAATAATAATAATAATAATAATAATAATAATAATAAGAAGAAATCCACACCCCCCACACAATAGATAAAATAATAAGTGGGCTAAAACAAAAACAACTACATGGAAAATTCTACAAAGACTTAGAAGAAAATCATGTCAATAAGAAGATGTCATTGATTTGGTTAAAAAAATCAAGTTTGTATGCCGAAACAGAAGGATTTGTGTTTGCTATTCAAGACCAAGTAATCAATACCAAGAATTATAGAAAATACATCATCAAAGATCCGAACATAAAAAACGACTGCTGTCGCCTATGCAAAGCAAAACCTGAAACGATCCAGCACATAATCTCTTCTTGCAGCATCCTAGCACAAACTGATTACAAAGCTAGACACGACAACGCAGCCAAAATCATTCACAAAGAATTAGCAACACTTATGAACTTAATCGAAGATACGACACCCTATTACACTTATATTCCGTCTCCATTCCTTGAAAATAACAAATACAAATTATACTGGGATCGCACAATACTTACAGACTTAAACATTACAGCTAACAGACCAGACATCATACTTATCAAAAAACACACGAACGAAGCCATTCTTATTGACATTGCTATTCCTAACACAAACAATATTATTCAAACATACGACACCAAGATTTCAAAATATCTACAATTATCGATAGAAATGAAATCCATGTTGAATCTTAAAAAAATTTCAATTCTACCCCTAGTTATCTCTAATGTAGGTGTAGTTCCAAATAGCTTAGTTGAGAATTTAAAGTCTTTGCATTTGAATGATTCAATAATTGTCAAAATTCAAAAAGCTGTTTTGTTAGGAACATGTCATATTGTTCGTAAGTTTCTTGAACAGTCTGATCATGTCAGTCAGATTAGATTAGCACCAGTAGGTCAGAGTAGTGTAGGTCACTTTTCATGTGATGCGCGGATAAATGGTCGGTAGTTACGCTGGACTTTTGGGGATGGGGTGAGATTAGAGAATAATAGCAGACTAATTTGTATGCTGTAATTCTAGAATCTCGAAAGTTGTTCTGTTAATCTAATCAATTCATATCATTACTTGGTCTTAGTACCCGTAATGATAGAAGTCTTGCCTGAATGCCGGTCATTTCCGGGTCAGTGGTGGGTCTTAATAATAACATTAATGTCAATAAAATTTGATGAAACTTGGCTTGTTATTCATTTTGTTGTGTATGAAAAATAAAAGTCCCTTGGGAATTTCTTAAAGGGTTATTTCCCTAGAAAAAAATATATCCCTTTTGACATCACTTTTTTCCCATACAAACTGTCTTGTACTCCTGGTCGTGGAAAAACAGAAACACGAAAAGCAAAAAGTTAAAAATAATATGTATAACAATTGTAGATTATTTATTTGCTATAACATTGAGTTTGACAGTTTGAAATTTTACTAATTATGCCTCGATATTACCCATCAAGTATTTCACGAAATGGAACCTTATCCAAGAAATCATTAAATATCTTCTCAAACACCTTTACGTACACCTGAGGAAAAGTGTCTTCAAAAAATTTCAAAACATCTTGCCATTTTTCGTTAAAATGAGCCACAATCTCTTCGTTCAGACGCTTACTATCAAAAAAATTTCCATCATAATCGAGGGTTAGATTTTGTGCCTCCATTATCAATTGACTGTCAACAACTCTGTCATACCTCTGGTTCTGCTTCACGAACTGTTCAAATTTGTACCTCATTCTGAACGTTGGATTGACTACAAAATTTCGAAAATAATTTCCAAAAATTCGGGTTCAGGGTACTTACTAAAAGTTGCTCTTTCGACTACTGATGCATCTATAGGTAACACGATAACTTTGCCGCGCATTTCGTGATTGTATTCGAAAATTAGTTCAAAAAAGGTAATATTTATCCAGATGAATTGATTTTCAAAATGAACCCTAAAACCTTGTCGATGAATTTTATTCGTCTATTTAGTTAGGTATCCAATACTTACTCTGCTTTTGTTGTATTTATTTTCGTCAAACCGTGAATTTTAAAATTAGTGAATTTTTGTTTCATACAAGTGGTTTCATCCCCGAATTCCACGACTAAGTCTTTCGACACTAGAGGCTCTAGATTTGGTAAACCATAATCTTCTAAGGGTTTGTCTAACTGGCTTATGGCGTCTTGAATAGCCTTCGACAGACATTGATGAAAGTCACTTTTTCTTGTATCGCACTTTGTGAATGTGGAAGCTGTAACATAGTGTATTTAGAAAAAAAAACTATACGCTTTTTTGAGTAATTTACGAAGGGTTACACAAAAATACTGATGTACCAAAACCGACAAGAATGTAAAGACTACGAACTGTTTCATTTTCATGGCGACGCTGTTAATGGTAACGTTATTATGCCTTCCTTAGATTTAAAAAACCAGGTTTGTATATTAATTGTCCGTAAATTATCATGTACTATGACCAATGATATACCTATGTCACCTTCACAAATGATAAAAATAACGGTAAATAAATACAAATATCACACAAGACAGAGTTTAGTTGCGGTTCTTCTTATTTAATAAATTCAGTTTTCCTATTAGCGCGACAGCCAGCTCGTCTACCAGATCTTTCTCCTGTCGATTTTGTTTATTTTATTACTAAACGGGATTACCCCAATACAGAAAATTAAACAATATCAAGGAGTAAAACTGGGAGGTTCTGCAGCATAAATTGGAAATTAAAAAAATTGGTTGCCAGCAAATTCTAGAAAATTAATGCGAACAATATGAAATATATTTAAAGCAGGCAATGAACGGAAAAAATCAAGAATTTTAAAAATCGACAAATTGGAAAACCAAAAAATCGAAATTCCAAAAGCCGGTAAATCGAAACATTAAAAAATCGAAAAATTAAATTTTCCGAAAATTCAAACTACAGAAATCAAAACTTCTCAAAAAATTAAAAAAGAAAAATCGAAAAATTTAAATCCCGACTAACTGAAGAATCGAAACATCAAAATTTTAAAAATTGAAAAATTGAAAAACCGAAAATCCAAAATCGAAAAAACACAAAACCCAGAAATAGAAAAATGAAAAAATTGAAGAATTAAAGTAGTTCAATATCCTAAAACGGAAGAATCGAAAATTTGAGAAATCAGAAATTTGAAGAATTGAAAAACTAAAAAATCAAAACATTGAAAAGTCGGTGAAAGGAAAAATCAGAAAATCTATTAACGTACAAATTGGGAAATCGAAAAATTAAAAATTTAGAAACGTCAAAAATTTAAACATTTTATTAAAATCGAAAAATTGAAGAATTGAAAAATCGCAAAACTGAAATATTGAATAATTGAGAAACAAAGTTTGAAAAATCGAGAAATCAAAAAGCCGAAAGATCGAGCAACCGAAACATCAAAAAAATCGAAAAATTAAAAAATCCGAAAATTTCAAAATGCAGAAATCAAAACTTCCCAAAATTGAAATGTTGAAAAATTCAGAAAACGAAAACTTGAAAAATAAAGAGTTCTAAAAATCGAATGACCGGAATGTCAAGAAATTGAAACGTGAAAAAAATTTAAAAATCGAAAGGTAAAAATAAAAAAATAGCAAAATTCTGAAATATTGGAAAGTCCGAGAACTCAAATATGGAAAAATTGAAAAATTACAAAAAATTGAAGAATCGAAAAACTGGAAAATCTCAAAAACTGAAACACCGAAAAATTGAAAAATCGAAAAATTGAAAAAATGAAAAAGTGAAAAATCGAGACTGAAAAGTCGAGAAATGGAGGAATGGAAAAATAAAAAAATCAGTTAATCGAGAAATTGAACAATCGAAAATTTGAAAATTTAAGACATATCAAAAATTGAAAAATCGTAAAATTGAAATACCAAAAATTGAGAAATCGAAAAACGAAAAAATCAAGAAATCGAAGATTTGAAAAGTCGAAAGATTGAAAGATCTCAACAGCGAAGTATCGAAAACTAAGTAATCGAAATATAGGAAATGAAAAATTGAAAAATCGAAAGATTGGGAAGTCGCGAAAAGGAAAAGTCGAGAAGTCGGACAATAGAAAAGTTGAAGAACTGAAATATTGGAAAGTCCCAAAACTGAAACATGGAAAAATTGAAAAAAAAAATTGAAGGATCGAAAATTGAAAAATCCCAAAATTGAAGCATTTTAAAATTAAAAATCGAGGAACAATGTAAAACCTCAAAATCGAAAAATTGAAAAATTGAAAAATTCAAAAAATTAAAAATTGAAAAACCGAGACATTGACAAGTCGAGAAATGGAGAAATAGAAAAATCAAAAATCAATTAATCGGTAAATTGAAAAATCGAAAATTTGAAAATTTAAAATATCAACTTGAAAAATTGAAAAATTTAATAAAAAGAATATAGGGTCAAAAAATTGAAACATCGGAAAATTGAGAAATCGAAAAATGAAGAAATCGAGAAATTGAAACATCAAAAGATCGTGAAGACGAGAAATGGAAAAATTGAGAAATCGGAAAATCGAAAAATTGAGAAGTCGGAAAATCGAAAAATTGAGAAAATCAATTGGGCCAAAATCAAAAAATCGAAAAGCTAAAAATTGAAAAATTGAAAAAATGAAAAAATGAAATCGAGACATTGAAAAGTCGACAAATGGAGAAATGGAAAAATCAAAAAATTAATTAATCAAGACATTGAAAAATCAAAAATTTGAAAATTTAAAACGTCAAAAATTGAAAAAATTTTAAATTTAAAATAAAAAAAATTGAAGAGTCGAAAAATTGAAAAATCGTAAAACTGAGAAATCGAAAAATGAACAAATCGAGAAATCCAAAAATTTGAAAGGTTTCAACATCGAAGTATTCATTGGGTAATCGAAATATTGAAAATCGGGGAAATGAAAAATTGAAAAATCGAACAATTGAAAAACGAAAAAACTGCAAAATCTCAAAACTGAAATATCAAAATATTGAGAAATCAGAAGTTGAAAAATCGGGAAATCAAAAAACCGAAAATTTGAAAAACCGAGAAATAGAAAAATGTACACAACGAAATATCGAGAAATAGAAACATCAAAAGGTCGAGAAATTGAGAAATGGAAAAGTCGACAAGTCGGAAAATCGAAAAATAGAAAAATTGAAGAACTGAAATATGCATTGGAAAATCCCAAAAGTGAAATATGGAAAAATTGAAAAAACATTGAAGAATCTAAAAATTGAAAAATCCCAAAATTGAAGCATCGAACAATTCAAAAATCGAGCAACTGAAAAGTCGAAAACGAAAAACCTGAAAATCGAAAAATTGTGAAGTCAAAAAATTCAAAAAATGTAAAAGAGAAAAATCGAGGCATTGAAAAGTCGAGAAATAGAGAAATGGAAAAAAAATCAAAAAATCAATTAATCGGGAAAATGAAAAATCGAACATTACAAAAATTTAAAACGTCAAAAATTGAAAAATTGAAAAATTTAATAAAAAAAATTAAAGAGTCGTAAAATTCAAAAATCGTAAAATTGAAACACGGGAAAATTGAAAAATCGAAAAATGAAAGAGTCGAGAAATCGAAAATTTGAAAAATCGAGAAATCGAAAATTTAAAAAATCGAAAAATTGAGGTCCCAACACTGAAATATCCAGAACTGAGTAATCGAGATATTGAAAATCCAAAAAATGAAAAATTGAAAAATTTTAAAACTGAAATATCGAAAGATTGAGAAATCTATAGTTGAAAAATCGAGAAATTAAAAAACCGAACATCAAAAACCGAGAAATAGAACAATGTACACAGTGTAATATTCAAAAACGAAACATCGAGAAATTCAAACATCAAAAGATCGACAAATCGAGAAATGAAATAGTCGGGAAGCCGGAAAATCGAAAAATAGAAAAATTGAAAAATTGAAGAACTGAAATATTGAAAAATCCCAAACCTGAAATATGGAAAAATAGAAAAATTGAAGAATCAAAAAACTGAAAAATCTCAAAACTGAAACATTGAAAAATTCCAGAATCGGGGAACTGAAAAGACGAAAAATTAAAAATATGAAAATCGAAAAATTGAAAAAATGAAAAAGTGAATAAACGAGACATTGAAAAGTCGAGAAATGGAGAAACGGAAATATCAAAAATCAATTAATCGAAAAATTGAAAAATCGAACAATTGAAGAATAAAAAAAACATCGAAAGATTGAAAAATAAAAAATTGAAAAATTGAGAAATCGAAAAACCGAGAAATAGAAAAATGTACCAAAATAATGTAGTATTCAAAAACGGATCATCGAGAAATTGAAACACCAAAAGATCGAGAACTCCAGAAATGTCGAGAAGTCGGAAAATCGAAAAACTGAGAATATGAATTGGACCAAAATCGAAAAATTGAAAAAATCAATTGGGCTAAAATCGAAAAATCGAAAAGCTGAAAATTGAAAAATTGAAAAATTTAAAATTAAAAAGGATCGAAAAATCGAAAAATTTTGAAAGTCAAAAAGTCAAGAAATTGAACAATCAAGAATCGAAATTTCAAAATCTTGATAAATCGAGAAATAGAAAAACAGAAAAATCTAAAAGATAAAAATCGAAAATTTTAAATTCAGAAAAATCGAAACATCAAAATTTTCAAAAATAGAAAAATTGCAAAACCGAAGAACCGAAAAATCGAAAACTCGAGAATCCAGAAATCGAAAAATCGTAAATTTTAAAATTTAAAAATTAAATAACAAAGAATCGAAAAATCGAAAAAACAAGGAAAAATTGAAGAATCGAAAAAATCAAAAATCACAAAACTGAAACATCGGGTGATTCGTGCTTCCGAGGTTTACGATGCGTAAGCATAGCAAGTATGATATAATTAAAAGTGACATTGCAAGTCAAAGTAAATATGCATAATAATAACATCGAAAAGTTGAAAAACCAAAAAATGGAAAAATCAGTAACCAGAAATTGGATAAATTGAAAAATTGAGAAACTGAACAATTGAAAAACTAAAAAATAGAAACATTGTAAAGTCAGGAAATCGAGAAATGAAAAAACCAAAAAAATTTCAAATAAAAATTTGAAGTGTCAAAAAATTGAAAAATCCTGAAACTGAAGTTTCAAGAAATTGAGAAATCAAAAATCGTAAATTCGAAAAATTAATAGGTACACCTTAAAATCTCGATGTTTAGGATAAAAATAGAAATTTTTGCCAAACGATATACGAAGCCAAGAGATACAATGATATTTTTTGAAAACTTTATTTGGGGCGACGAAAATTCGTTCACAAATAAAAGACAACTAAAAATTTGCATTTATTCAAACCGAGAGCTAAATGGAGACACAAAGGATATTTGTACTGTAGTATTAAAATTTAATTCTTACTCTATTGTTCTTACCACGAAAAATGCAGCAAAAATCTTAAAATATGCAATAAATCCAAAAAAATAATTAAATATGCAGAATATGCAAAAATATGCATTTTGCATATTATCCGAGTCTTAATCATGAGTGTTCTGATATGTTCGTAATTATAGCAGCAGAATTACTTAATAAAAATATCGACGCAGTTATTATACCAACTGATAACATCAACGGCCAAAACCGACCCGAAACATCTTTATTATTGTAATCAGTTGCCACAAATCTAAAGTAATTAAAAATTAAAGGTCAATGTTAATTAAATCGCGACTATTCTTGTTATAGAGAACCAGTTCATTAGATACTTTAACTGAGATTAATGTCTGACGTCTGATTGGCGCAGTACTCATAATATATTAGTAAAAGCCAGTTTGTATAAAAGTTTAATTTCGATTAAGTTAATCACACATTTAACGAGACATTTAGCGACGTCTGATTGGCGTAGAGTCCGTCACGTGGTACTTTAACACAGTGTTAAAAATCGCAATCGCAATTAAATATTTTTAATTGAGCTTGTATAAACCGGCTCTTAGTGAAAAACAATTTACGCGTTTATATCAAAAAGACACCAAGAATCGCTGAAGATGGCAGCAAGCACCAAAGACGAAGAAGTACGTAGCCACAAAAGTGAACTTAATAAATTATTTATTGTAGATATTATCACGACCTTTGGAACACACTCTACAAGTGGGCCCAGAAGATCGTAACATTTTTAAACAATCCATTTTTTCTTGTAATGTTTGGGTTAAGTGTCCCCAAGACGCACTCAAAGTCTTTAACGATATTGGAAGTAGCTTATACGATGTGCTTATTGTGTAATTTTACATTGTACTCATAGCTTAATTACTTTAATTGATGAAGTTTTCCCAGACTTGATGATATTCTGGACGGAACGATACTTCGTAGAGGACTTCCTTCAGCCCATATGGTTTATGGAATTTCACTAACCGTACATGCTACAGTCCACAAGATGTTTCTAATAATGCAAAATGTACTCTATTATGCAGAAAACAGGAAGGTAATGTTTTTATGCTGTCTGTGTTTTTAACGTATTGGTCTAGGACATCGCTCTTGATGACTTTGTTACGTTGGGTATTCGATTTTTCACTGGGCAAGGACTAGAAATCCACTGTAGAGACTCTCAAAGGTGTCCTAGTTTCTGCGATTTCAAAGTACTAGTTCGTGCCAGTAAGTTAAATTATTTATTAATTTTTGTAAAAAAAAAACAAGCTCCTGTTTTAGAATGTACCAGTTCTTTCAAATGGGGAGTCCAGTGGTTGAAACTGTGTGCCAAGAACGATACAATCGAACTGAGTGTCGATCTTTGCGACAAAATAGGTGAATTTCTTCAGATATACGACGACTATATAAATTTGCACAGTACTAAGGTAACCAACCAAATTAAAATTTTTTAATGGTTCTTATGCAATTTTCCAGTACGCAACCGTTCGGGTTCTCTGTGACGATCTTGATGAAGGAAAATTCAACTTTCCTATGATTCATGCCATTCAAAGTCATCCGAACGATCATCGTCTCTTGGGTAAAATAGTTCATGTTGTTTTATTGCTTAATTATTATTAGGTATTTTTAGATCTGTTAAAACAAAGACCACTGGATGTGGAAAGTAAGAAACTGTTTGTAGACATAATGGAAAGTTTTGGAAGTTTCGAGCAGACGCGGAAGGTAATGGAAGAGTTGAGAAATGGAATTATCGCCGACATAGACAAAATGAATCTGGGGAAAAATCTGTGTATGGAACGAGTTCTTCAAGATGTATTGGATAATTTAGAAACGGAAATTTATTATGATGGTTGCAACTAAAATGTGTTTTCCTAAGTCTGAACCTTGTTAATTAATAATAATGATTTTTACTTTTTTCTATTTCTCACAAGAAGGTTATCCATTATCGATCATGTTATATAATATTATACGCATAATTAATCTATAACCTGACCGGTTAAACTTTAGCCAGAACGTTACTAGTAAAAATTTAGTTGTGAAGATATAAACGAAAATGAAAGAGTTCCTAGTGCTTACATTTACAACGGTTTTGATACATCAGTGTTTTACTTTAACACTTCGTAATTACTCAGCAAAATTTGTTTTTGGTTTTTTGTAACTACGTTGTATTGCAGCTTCCACTTTCACAAGGTGCGATAAAAGAAAAAGTGACTTTAATCAGTGCCTATCGAGAGCGATTCAAGATGTTGTAAATCAGTTAGACAAGCCGTTCGACGATTACTGTTTGCCCAGTCTGGAACATCTGGTGTTGAAAGACTTACTCGTCGAATTTGGAAACGAAACCACTTGCATTCGCCAAAAATACAGCAACTTTAAAATTCACGGTTTCACGAAAATAAATACAACAAAAGCAGAGTAAGTATCGACCGTTTAAACAAATAAATTTACCATAATGAACAATATTTCAGACTAGATTTTGAAAACCAAGTCTTGTGGCTTAATATGACCTCCTTCAAGCTAGTTTTCGGGTATGAGCACCAAATACGCGGCAGATTTATTGTGTTGCCTATAGATGTGTCCACCGCGGCGAAAGCAACATTAAGTAAATAAGTTAGTAAATCGCAATTTTTTGAAAATTATTTTCAATTTTTAGCAAGTCCGACGTTCAAGATGAGGTACAAATTTAAACCGTACTTGAGGCAGAACGAGAAGTATGACAAAGTCGTTGACAGTCGGCTGATAATGGAAGCACAAAATATAACTTTCAATTATGGAAATTTGTTCGACAACAAGCGACTGAGCGAAGACATTGTTGCCCAGTTTAACGCAAATTGGGAAGACATTTTGCAGTTCTGGCAAGCTGCTTTTCCCCAGGTGTACGTAAACGTGTTTGAGAAAATATTTAACGACTTCTTCTCCAGAGTCCCGGTTCATGAAATATTTGATGGGTTTTAGTTGGTAATAATTAGGCTTCGGATTTTAGGTCGTTAAAAATGAATAAAAGGAGACATTTTTAGGTCCCAAAATTAGGGTATAAAAATCTTAGTTTAGGTTAAAAACCTGGAGGAAAAAATATTTGCTCAACGAAAAAGCATACATCAAAAAAATATATATTTAAAAAAAAAACATTATAGAAACAAATATTTTGTGTAACAAACAAAAAAATGATTAAATAAACAAACGATCTATAGTTACGTCCACTAATTCTAAGTTATCGCAAAAAAATGGCGATCAAATTAAAGCAAGTCGCATTTAACAAAAAATAAAATATTAATTCAGATATTTAAAATGAGTTACAAAAGCAAACTATATATTTCTCTAAATTTTCGATTGTAAATTTACACCTTTGATCGCTTAAAACACTTTTGAGTTTTGAAAGCGTCCGTTCCACATCACAAGAAGTGATGGCTGCAAAATTAAAAATTGAACAATTTATGTTTTCATTTATGTATGTTTTGTTGGTAGTATTTCCATTACCGCAAATTACGTTATTTACGGAACATACAAAATCATGTCCTGGATTCTTTTTTAATAGAGAACATAATTTTTGGAACGCCATTTCCCCCACCTTTCCTGGTGTGTTTTTTAAAAATGTATACTCTTTTTCCACAATTTCCATACTTTGGTTTAAATGTAAACCTATAGTTTCTAATTATTCTATTGCATCAGCAATAATTTTAAAATCAGCTTTAATGTACAAGAGTTCATTTTTAACGTTTGCTTTATTCAGGAATTCTTGAGCTTTTTTAATGCTTTGTGCATCTGTGGCTTCAAATGACATTACAACCTAAAAATTTTCAATATAAGAATGATAGTAAAAAACCATTATATATTTACTGACTTGTTTTAAAACATCAAATTATTCTGCATAAAACAATGCTGCTTGAATCCAAGTGCCCCACCTGGTTAATACAGGTTCAAGTGGGAGAGCTATATTTGGTAAACAGTTTTTATAAAACTCTACTCTTATTGGTGCTTTTAAAAAGATTTTCTTAACATTGCTAATTATCCCATTGACATCTGGATAATTTAGTCTAATTCTTTCAGACACTAAATGAAACCCATACATGTTATATTTTCATAAAACACCTTCAAATTAGTACCAGTTTTGATCATTATGAAGCACCATCTGATACAAACCATTTAACTTTTTTGTGTTCAGTTCCTTTTGGTCACAATAAAGCTACAAATTAACAATTATAATATGATTCATTTATTTAAATGTACAAAACATCAACAAAATTAAACATTCAGTACTCTTTTCTATTTGTCAACCTTTTTTCTCATCAGGCCACTCTTCTTTTTTAATCAAAACTAAGTTCCGTTACAACCTCCCCCTCTAAACATGAAACATTCTTTTTAGGACGACCCCTCCTCCGTTTCGGTATTAAGGGCGTTAATGTGTCACTTTCAGTCCCTTCAACCAAGGTCCGCGGCGTGATAGCGTCCAGTTCTTCCTGGAGGATTTGTACAGCTTCCTAACTCGTAGGTTGTAGGAGAAGCAATTCGCAAGATCATATAAGGACCATCCCTTTTTGGGGCAAGCTTTGAAGAGAATCCACTTATGGAGCTACTGAGAGTAGTAGAGTAGAGATTTCAGGAGAACCTTGTCACCCTTCTTGAATACAGCTGGTCGTCGTCTGGAATCTAGGCGGGTTTTCTGGACATCTTGTTTCTTGCAATTTCTATCCATTGCCTCAGACAGAGTAGTAGCTAGCTTTTTTAAGTAAGAAGTTATTCTTGGTATGAAATTTTCTGCATCAATCACTTTGCGTAGATCATATACAGGATCATAAGGAGCTCTATCTCCCTACCAAATGTGAGAAACGAAGGACTATATCCCGTGGAGTCGCCACATGTAGAATTTATGGCGAATCGAATGCTGTTCAGGTGATGATCCCATTCTGAGTGGTGATCTTGAACCAAAATAGCTAACTGAGTCTTCAATTCGCGATTCTTCCGTTCAACAGGGTTACTCTCTGCATGATACAAAGGAATGAACGGAGTTGTGATACCAAAACAATAAGTAATTTGCTGCATTACATCACTGATAAATTGTACGCCGTTATCAGAAATCATTTTCCTCGGAGTTCCAAACCGCAGGAATATTTCTTCGATGAGAATTTTTGCACAAGATTCAGAGTCGGCTTTTACTAATGGGAAAAGTTCTACCCATTTTGAAGCAACATCCTCAATTATTAGGATCCATCGATTCCTCTGGGAGTTGCCGGTAGAGGGCCAAATAAATCTACAGCCACGACTTCGAATCTCTGGGAAGGGGCTGGGGTTTGAAGTAGGTCCGCAGGTTGACGATTCTCTGGTTTATATCTCTGGCATTCCATACAACCTTTTACATGACGAACAATATATTTTCTCATATCTGTGAAGTAAAATTTTGAAGAGATCTTTTGAAGGGTTCTTTCGATGCCGTAGTGTCCCCCTGTAGGCGAATTATGGTATTGGGCCAAAACATCTTCACGCAATTCTTTGGGAATCACTAACTGGGGATCTTCAGAGTCCACATATGGGTTGAAACGGAAGAGAACACCATTGTTCATCACGTATCCCCTCCCAGACCATCTAGACATCTCTACCGGATCTTTACTTTCGAGAGATAATATAATAATCTTGATCTCATCATCTTCCATTTGTTTCTGTCGCATAGATTTAGCATCGTATGACGGTAGGTCAACACTAACGAAGTAGGTCTGTACCTTTCCTTCTTCATCCGAGCAAAAAGGTCGAGACAACAGATCAGTTACTACGTTGATTTTACCAGGAGTATATACAACGTCCATATTCATGCCTTGAAGGCGGAGCACCCAACGAGCCAAACGACCCGAAGGCGATTTTAAAGTCAGCAACCACCGTAATGGTTGATAATCCGACGCTTAACCACTTTCGCACCTTCTAGATAATGTCGGAATTTTTCTACAGCCCATACTACGGCGAGCGCCTCTCTTCGGTAGTTGAATAATTTTTCTCGCTGTTAACAAGCGACTGGCGTATTCTATCGGATGTTCGTCGTATTTCTCCCCCTGGAGTTGAACTGCACCCAAGGCGTAACAACTTGCATCTGTTCTAAGGATATACGGCTTGGTCTGGTCGGCTTGAGCAAGGACTGGAGCGGTAGTCAATCTTTCTTTTAACGTTTCGAAGGCTTTTAATTCGGCTTCACCAAACTGAAAAGACGCATTTTCCTTAAGAGGATTAGTTAAGGGACGTGCAATTTTGGAAAAAACTGAAACAAACTTGCGATAGCAACTACATGTCTGAATGAAACTTTGCAGCTGTTTGCGATTGCTTGGAGGTCTCAACAGTTTGATAGCAGCTATTTTCTCAGGGTTAGTTTTAATTCCATCACTGGTCAGTATATATCCGAGAAATTTGGCCGAGTCACAGAAGAACAAGCACTTCTCACGTCTAGCACGAAGACCAAAAAGTTTTAAACGCGAAAACACTGTTTGTAAATCTATTATGTGCTTCTCGAAGGTTTCTGAAAGTACGAAAATGTCGTCTATATATACGAACACTGCAGTGTCATTCAAACCGGATCTAAATCTGTCTATGAATCGAACGAATGTCGTGGGCGCGTTTTTCAACCCGAAAGGCATTCGATTGAATTTAAACGTCCCAAATGGAGTCACAAAGCAAGTTTTGTCACGATCGTCTTCAGCAACAGGAACTTGCCAGTAACAGGCTAGGTGTGACCAGCTATGTTCCATTTTGATCCAGAATCGGCGAGTCCAATTCCTTTTGCACCTTTCACTTCTAAGGGTAGGATTGGAGCGTCGCAGCTTGACTCATTTTCTAAAGATAGCCGTGAGAATTCAAAGCAGTTAGTTTTGACGTCTGCTTTTTATTTGCATTCCGGGCATTTCCATCTGTAGTAGCCAGGAGTACCACAGCCGTAAC